GTTAGTGACACAATTTAAACAGAGTTGTAAGGTGTAAAATGATTCACAAAAGAAGTGTGGTCTTCCTTTTAGCGAATTTCCCTTATTATTAGCTTACGGTAATAAGCTATTACCGTAGTACTCATGGTAAGACCTGGACCCGGGACCGATTTACTTTTTCGTTTTGAGGTCCCTAGAGACCAAAAACACCATTCGTTCAAATTCATATATATATATATTTATATATGTGTCCATTAGCGCGATAACTCGAGCAAAAATCATCAGATTTTGATGAAATTTGGTACAAATGTGTAAACCTACGTTTATTCGAACGAGTTCGCAAACCAGCATGATCGGACTATGGGAACAGGGGTTTATAAGGTGTGTTATGGGGTAAAAATTGGTTTTTCCCATTTTTTACTCTAAAAACTTAAAAATTAGCAATTTCTTTCCAAACCATTTTGTAGAGCTTGAAAAAACAAATAATTTAGTATATTGAAGCGTTATCATGCGCCTAATGGTTACGGAGAAAATTACAAAAATCTGCAAATTTAAAATTCACATGTTATTCTTAAGGAGAATAAGTAAACTGTTGTAGTTTCCTTGTTTATGAACATATTTTGATCAAATTTGGAAAATGCATTAATTTCATACTGAACTATTACATAAAAAAAATACCTTTTTACCCTCCCTGTTGCAGCAAACCTAAGTACTCGTTAAACTATTGACATTGTTGACATTGTTATTTGACATTGTTTTTTTTTGCGACGCGTGCATGGGCAAGATATGGACAATCAGGTATCTTAAATCTTTTTATTTAACTGTCAAATAATTAGTCCGCATTAACCACAACAAAAATGTAAATAAACTGATGCATTATGAGGCTCTTTGGAAATCAAAGTTTTCATCAGCATCGTTGAAGTTCTGACGCATGAAAAAACAAGTGAAAATAGACAAGATGCAAAACTTAAACTATTCGTTTTTAAAATTTACAGTGTAAGGTTTCTCAGTGCAATTATCATACTGATAAAACTATACCATTCGTTAGACATTTTATGTAGTTCAATTAAAATGCCCTTGAACCGTGTGTAGATAGAAATACGATCCATAAAAAGTATGCTAAGTAAGATGGTCTGCGTGTAATTTGTATGGTATAATGGCTATACCTGTTGGTGCACGACAATGTTGCTCGCTATAATCGCGTCGCGGCTCGATAAAATGGCGGGTTTACGTGGCGGGAAATGGGTCGCCTGACACCAGCACCTAGCAACATTGCAAAGTTCCTAAACTATGTAAGCGAGTGGGCAATGCGAATGCCAGTGCAGGCGCTGAATTAACTCGTTATTTATCATCGAACAATGGAAATCGATATCTCTAAATCCTTCTCGCGAGATCTTTTGCGCGTACGGGTTTAAGAATGCGCGGGGGAGTATGGGACGGGGGCACAGAAAATGGCAACCTCATTGTATGCACGAATATCAGAGAATGAAGTATTAAGAATGAAAAATGGTTATCACTGACGTTGCGTGTATCTTGAAAAGTGAATATTATAATGAGGCTTTGCCCTACGTCTGCGGGAGGACATACACGCCCGTCATTGTCTACCTCCACTCACTATCTTCATCTTCATCTCAATCTAAATCTGGACCCTGTTTATCATTCGGGAATTGTATTACATTCTCTATGGAATATCAATGTTGAGGTTCGTTCAATTGTGTGCGTTCCGCGGTATCGTGGCGTTGCATGCTGCAGTACTCCACTGTTATGAATGTGCACTGCCAGACAGTTCACCGGTGTGGGTGTTATAGATTTCAGAATGCCTGGATCTCACTATATTTATTTCGCAACGCTGTTGTGTACCAAACAACACCTTCAACCGGTTAAGCATGATTTGTTAAGAAAATAAGTGCAACTATTGTGTCAGGTGTACAAGTAGCGCAAGTTCACACCAAGTGCAATCTGTATTTATTTCCCCTACGTTTTGGTGAAGAAACTATAAAAAATTAATAGAATTGTATAAGAATTAAGTTGAATTAATAGTAATTGGTCCAGAATGGATTGCTACAACACAACCGAAACGTTAACCATTATGTTGACCTATTCAAACGAAGCGATCATTTTCGAAGACCAAGTTCTGACAGGCAATACTTTGAACATGAAAGTCTACGATCAAAAGTATAAGGTAATTCCATCAGCAGTCAACATAAACCTTAAGAGAGATTTACAAGGAGGTCTTATTATTTTAAATATTGTTAGAACTGTACTTAAATACGATGAATTTGTAAGATCTGTGACTCGGTGAGACGGCAGTGTACTGCACAGACACCATAACAGTAGGCTGTAGGCCTACTATACAAATAACGATACACATTTCTAGAAGACTCTTTAATCAGATATTTAATTAGTTAATGTTTATCGATGTGTGGCTAGAGATGGTAAGGTTTGTATCAGGCCGATAGGTGACTAAACTTGCTTTATACTTTATCTAACCCCATTGTAGTGGGGAAGGATGGCAAGTGTTGCATTCTGGTTGATCTATTAGATACAATTTGATTTTCTTTTAAAACTATTTTTGGCGCTCAAACACTAAAGTCGCATTAAGAACATTTTTAGATTTTGATCGATATATCTATTTTTTGTACAGTTTAGAGGGAATGTATAAATTAATAACAACAAAGTTCTTGCACATCTGAATCATTGTATACATATAAAACAATAAATATAATCACATTGGAAAGGAGTTTGGTATTATTTGATATTTAATTTTTTTTAAAGAATATTAAAAAACAGAATATTAACAAGAACTGGTACAGTAAAAATGGTAAAGAAGAAAGTAAATTGTCATATATGTTTTTAACATAGTTTTGTTGGATAATAAAGTAAACGAGTTGTAGGCAAATGCATGAGAGTGACATAGTTATCGCTAAAGGCAAGATCGTGCCACAACGCCAAGTGACGATCTAACCAAGGCCACCTCAAGGCCACGATTTACTTTCATTCTTAGACATTTTATCTCTCCTGTTGAGCGTCTATTATTGTACCTTATCTATTGCGATTACAGCAATAAACTGTCATGCTGAACGTGACACATTCCGACATGTGTTACCAACATATCTTCTGCGAAGACAAAATTCTCAGATCGAGTTAGGGTTTTTAAGATTCGAAAGATAAGATGTAACAAGAAACATGTTGAGACTGATCTTAAAAGCACCGACGATTCCTAAATTTACTTGCACCATTTGATTCTTATCTCGTAGCGGAATTCGTTTTGACACCTGTTGTTCTGTGGTGTTAGTGCTGGGGGCGTACCTTAGTGTTTAATCAATCTAAAAATAAGTTACAGTGTTTGTATTTCTGATATTTATTGTATACGCTATTTATCCCTTGTTCTAAGCTAATTGAGAGCTTTAAATTTCGTAAGTTTGTAAATTAATTTAAGGTAAATAAAAATATGTCAATCACCTAAAATGTACGGTAAATATATATAAAAGATGTATATTTAATTCACCTATTGTGTATGATGATTATTGGAGTGTCCAATTGAAATCGATCACCAATTACCATTTTTATAAGTTTTTTTTTACTTTCTGCGAGTCAACAGTATAAATGTTACCAAAGTATTTTGATTTACTTTCAGTATATTTAATAAAGTGTACAATGCTGATCAAGAAGTTATTTGGTAAGAAGTTTTTGGTCCTATAAGATACAGTAAATGTAGGTAATATGAAGTTTTTAATTCCCTACTTGTTTTTGCTAATGTTATACCTTATACCAACTTATCCACTCTAGTTTACACATAATTGATTTCTCGCCCGCCATATTATTAAAAACTGAGTTTTAAAATGTAATATCTTCTTACTGTAAATAGAAAAACTGTCCAAGGTCGTTGGATTAGATATTGATTCTATTGTATCCTGTTATAATTTACATTTTGGTACAATATGATTTAAGATTATTACAAAATTCAAATTCTATTGATCTACACAACTTTGAACTTACAAACGGAAAGTAAATAAAAGAAACGTCTTATAACACTTAAAACATATATTTACGCCTTATAGGACGTTTCTTTTATTTACTTTCCGTAAATTTAATAACACGTACAATGCTGATCAAGAAGTAACTTACAAACGTAAAATATTATGTATAACACACACAAATCACATTTTAAATAAGCAAAGCCAGGGACACACAATGTATTTAAGCCGGGGAAGGAAAAATTATACTCAATATACAAAATGGGTTGACAATGTAGACTAAGATTTGTATGAAAGAAATTCTTTTTGAGGTTTGGGATAACTTTTAGATAATGGAATGAAGATAAATACAACGATATAATATACTAATCGACAATTCCAAAATGACAAAATAATCTCTGTCTATACAGTATTTAAAATCATGTATTTGTAAACAATTATTGAAATACTAGTACTCTTATAATCAAAAATCATTATATTTTTATAAATTCCTTATAAAAACATCGATCTTCTTCAGTATAAATATGGTTTTCATTTGATAGGCAATGTTTAAAATACACTTACGAGTGTACAAAGTGTGTGCTGTGTAGGGCCTAAACCTATTAACATTTAAACATTTTTCATCTACACGACACAGATATGGGGCAAATCGAAAGAAAACGATAAAGTAGAGAATTATGAGAATCATACATTTGCCTCAATGTCATCTTGGTTCATAACCGATTGCAGCTAATAATATACAAACTTTCACCATTTTCTATAAAACTTCGGATCAAATTTTATCGTAATTAGTATACTATAACGAAACCATTAGCCAAGTTTTATTGTAAAATTGTAAAAAATCATACAGTTATATTTTCTATATTTTATACTCAACTGCGTGTTAAATTTAGTGTTAGCCTTACAATGTTACTACAAACATAAACGTGTAAAAACATAAAGTTTGGTACTTTCTTGAAGCCGAAAACACATATAGGCGCTGGCGCTTAACCGTGTGGACGGTAGTTAGTTGCGTTAGCTAGCAGCAGTTTGTACCTTCCTTACCTTGGTTGGGTCTGCCCTCCCGGTCTTTACTGTTATCACATATCCCACTCAATATTTCTGAAAAACCACAATACACCTCAGATCTACATTTCAATGGGGAATAGTGGAGTTAATGTTTGAACACCAAGTGACGTCTTGCCAACATTACCATTGAAACGAAAAGAGTAAATTTATTTTGCATCGGATAGTTTTCTAATTAGCATAGTTACTTATGATGATTCCAAATTTTATGAGGTTAACACAAAATTTTGTATAAAATCTTTACTTGGATAAAGTTCATACTAGAGTTAACATGTAGACAAATAATAATTAATAATATAATAAGACTATGGTGGCTTTCTTCGCAGTCGAATTTTGATGAACGTGAAGCCAAAATGTCCATTCTGTTTATGCAATTTTCTCCCTTACTGCCCACATGCTAGGTAATACAAATAATAAATTAAAAAAAGAAAGTGTGTTTGCGAGAGATCTTAACTTAGTAAACGGTATTTGACATTTTTTAAAGATTGAGCTACAGCTGAATTAGTCATAGTCCAGCTGTAAAATATTTCAGTTCGGGTGGACAGTTAGTAGATCAGCTGTAGAATACGATATGATTTTTTACATTGAAGCCAATTGCGAAACAACAAACGTAAAAAGTTGTTGATTTAAATATGCCAACGTGCATTTGCAAACGAAATGTAATTAAATAGTATTTTATTTCCCATTAATTATATACATCAGAGCATTTTAATTTTTACTTATAAATAATAGTACAGCAAATATTACTATTTAGATAACAAAAAGTATATACTGTAGGAAAAAAGTGAACAAAAATGTAAAAAAATTATACATTATCCTATATTGTCCTATAATTATCCTATAATAAAGGGAAAAGCCTACATAGGCAGGGCCTGTGCGTAGATTCGAGTTGCCGTAAAATTAATTTCAATGGGAGGTCAAAAAAATGTATAGGAAAAAAAATAAATCTATGGATTTTATAATTTTTTTAAATGTCTTGCTTGGAATTGAATGTTCAGTGTTCTGGGCTAAAATTAACAATACAAAAACTCTTTGTTGAAGGATCATTCCGTGTAACATTTTCTGTCGTAAAGCACAATTTATATATTATACTTGTTTCTTGAAAATTAATTTGTAAATGGATGGAAAGGAATTGATTGCAATAATAAAAACAAACACTATTCCTGTATTAATCACAAAAGGTACAACCTTATTTCACCCTTTCAGTAACAACGTTTTTGCACAGGTAAACCCATCTCATATTTACTGCCAAGCGCAATGGAAATTAAGTTTGTTTCGTTTCAGATTGTTTCAGTTTTACAAAACATTGAATATGGTAGTATAAGACAGCCCTAGAGTTAAAACCCCACTGTCAGTGAAGCAATTTAGAGAAACAGCTATGGATGATCCAGCATATTCCTCACATTATTCAAACCTAAAACTGTATGGTTGTTTTGTCGGGTGTCTTTCCTAATTTTTGATGTATTGTTATCCTAATGGGTTTATTCAGGGTTTATTCGGTTTATTAATGAGTTTATTCAGTTCGTTCGCAATGCGATGAGAAACGGGAGGGTTTGGTCCCTGTTATTTAAAAAAAATGGATTTCAACAGTTTCAACTTAAAAACATACAGACTGTCCTAAAAGTCCCGGACCGGTTTAATATTTTCTAAACGAAAACAGATAACTACTACTAAGGGACTACTTTTTTAAGGGACTGTCAATTTTCTGTCATATCACGGGGACGTCCCGCAAGGAGTCAGAAGGAAATCTTAAATAGAAGCATAGGTTGACATGCACATCAAATTAAAGACCTTTACTAGTAGATTACAATGCCGTAAATTCAAGCTCAAAAGAACGCCTGAGTAAAAAATGGCAGCCATTCAAAGATTTCTTGAACCTGCCATTTTGAATCTTTGAACGACTGCCATTTTTTACTCAGGCGTTCTTTTGAGCTTGAATTTACGGCATTGTAATCTACTAGTGAAGACCTTTAATTTGATGTGCATGTCAACCAGAGGCGGCGTTTAGGGGGGGGCAGTTGCCCCCCCCCCCACATTCATAAGGAATATTTATCAACATTATAAAATAGAATTCTATCAAGAGTAAATCTAGATTTCGCCCCCCCCCCCCCCACCTCTCAAGCCCAACTGCCGCCACTGATGTCAACCTATGCTTCTATTTAAGATTTCCTTCTGACTCCTTGCGGGACGTCCCCATGATGTGTGACAGAAAATTGATATTTCCTTAAAAAAGTAGATTTTTAGGTGTGGTGTTGATGTACCAAATCTTATTGATTTATCTGTTGTCGTTTTGAAAATATTAAAACGGTCCGGGACTTTTGGGACAGTCTGTATAATGGTTCTTAATTACAAAATGTCACTAGTGTTAAAAATCATAACAGAAAAACTTGACACACTATTGGATAGGCAAAGTTTTATGTTGCGGAGGTCACGTAGGCGAGTAGAAGGGCAAGGTTTGAGGGCAACGCAGGGTGCGGAACGGGCACTTGACCACTGGCCACTGGGCAATGGGCATTCTGGTAGCGTAGTGAGAACATGACGGCAATCGTGAGAGCCGTATCCGTGACCGCGGACGACAATGTCGACCGTACACGGCAACCCGCCTGCATAACAACTTGCCCGCACCCACCTCGACACACCGTCGATACGATACACTCACTGGGCAGGAGAACCGTTAAGTTTGCAATGTTCAATTTTTATTGATTTTTATTGAGATTACCCTACCTGAAAGTCCATTTTCTCGCAAAAGCGCAAAAAAATCGATGAAAGAGTGAATAACTCTGAGATTATGTTTTTGGATATTTCAATAATCTACTAAAAATTTATATTCTTTTGTAAGTTATTAGGAATTGTATGCAACTTTAGTCTGCTAAACTTACCCGATACTAAGAGTTGTCTGTGTAGTCTTTTACAGAAATAGTTAGTAACTCATTGTTATAAATGTGAAGTGTTTGGTATTAACGAGTTTAGAGAAATAAGAACAGTAGTCTGCAACGATAACCAGTGTAATGAAAACATGAAAATGTACCACTTAGCCGAAACATATTTCGAAGAAGCTGAGGGGGTGAAGACAGTCAGTCACGGCCCCTCAGACGATATTAACTCGATACAACGATACAACCCATTCGCCGAGAGAATTAGAATTCTTATCCGGACTTTATCGCATAACTCATCTTAAATGTCTGGCTTTGTAAATAGTAAAAGAAAAGTGGAGGCAGCGTTAACCTATTTCTGGGCCGTTAGGGCGAATCCCGAGTCATGAAATAATGTAGAAGAGAGTTAAATATCTGTATATGGAGAGGGGAGATACAATGCTAGCAGTCACAATAGGGCTCAGTCATAACAGCGTAATAAAATATAAGTAGTGGAGAAAGAGCGCCCTCTGATATAACCAAGGTCGAGCCCTACGAAATAATATTTCTTATAGCCTATAGTGGGTAAACCTAATCTCTGTAAACTTATTGCATAGAATATAACAGTAAGAACTGCTTATGCTCTACGTATGTGGCTGTAATACTTTAATAATCAACTTACTTGAACATATGGTTCAAAAGTAAATTTATTTTGTATTAACAGTTTGTGTTATGCATTTAATTTTAAAATAGTAACAGAATGAAACGTACAGGAAAACAATATAATCAGGTTTGTTGAATTTCAAAACGTTTAAAATGTTCTTATAAAACCACTTAAACGTGAATGCAGAGAATTCACCCATAAATAAATTCATCATATGATGAAAAGGTCAATGCAAACTACATTTGTTACAAGCATTCAATGATTTCTCCTTCTGTGTGCATACTATGACTGTATAAGATTAGAAACTATTAGAAACTATGTAGTATACATTGTGTAATGTATAAACAGTAATAAAGAAATTTCATTTGGTTTCCAGGTGTTTATACAATAGATTGTGAATCCATATTGTAGTAATTATGTGTAGTTATAGAAAAGGAAGGACTTTGGTGAACATTTATTTTTCGTTTAAACAATTTTCAAACTGCTGTAATATTGAAGCGTGTCCTAAATACTGATCATAAAATATATTATGAACTATATGAAATACATTATGTTTAGTTTCCTCGAATCATATTTAAAATGAAAAGAAGAAAGCACTAAGAAAATTAGGAACATAATTTCAATAAATTATACAAGTGTTATCTAGACCCAGAAATAAAATGTAAATCGTATTATCAAATAGGAAGATACCAACATCGCATAACCGAATTGTGAAGAGCAATATGATAAATCAATCAATAGTAAGTAATCGCAAGATCAACATCATTGAATAAAAGATTTAGCATAACCTGGGTTGGCAGAGGGCTTCCATATACTGAAATAGTGAGGAAATTAAACGATTATACGTACATGACAAGTTGCAAGAGAAAAAATATGTGACAGGAATTGAACATGTGGTCTTGGGTGCCATTCCTTATATGACGCGACCATTGAAACTGGCAAAGTTGATCTTTCTCTGGAAGCCGCTCCCGCCACGTACATTACAAAGTTATTAAAGTCATAGCTTTGTAAAATATCACTGATAGGGACAATTTCTGACAAATTTTAATCGTTAATTCTAAACACGTTTTTGATAATAAGAAATATTTCTAACGATGAAGGTAGTATAATCTATTTAACCTTTCATTTGAAGATCTTCTAGATTTTGTTCACAGCGTTAAATTGTACAGTATCTGCTACACGAATATCGTTTTCAAAAGTATTATGTTACTTGGTTTATTATGCTTTATAAAATTAAATTATTTTGTATTAAAAATGTTGGATGGTTTAGTCCTACGAGTTCTGTACCGTGATTGAAGGTAAACATCCCAAATATATAAACCAGTTACAACCAATGTTTTTAAATTTAAATATAGCACATAGTTGAACGATTCACTCACAGTGTGCTATTTAAAACATTTCGTTTTCTCCTTTACTTATTTTTACTGATAGTTGACGTAACTTGAGAGATACTATAGTTGGTATTAAGTAGTTTTTTTGGTTTGGCTTGGTTGAAAGTTACCGTATAAGGCAGGAGTAATTAACATCTGTACACTTGGTGTCGATGCCTCAATTCCGTTCATTGTTATTGTAAAACTGGGTACAACATGATTTTCAACTCTAGAAGCGCGACTTTTATCGTACTACCGTTGGCTAGTTGAACATTTCTGAGCGTGCGTCCGATCAGGCATAAACATCAGTACTCACCATGACTGTTAATGAAGTTGGCCAGGTACAAGTCTAGTTCTCGGACGGATACATTTATATGATAAGGATTTACACAGAGGCTAGGGTGCGCACACTCGGGCGACTTCTCTAGGCGTTCTCCGTCGGTGCTTTCCAGGGGAATCGCCTTGAACAGGATGACCATGACTAGATCTAGGCGCCACACCTGTAAAAGACAAAACAGCCACTGTTAGTAGAGCACGCCAGCTCTTAGGAACAATACTACTTATTGCACATAGAGCAGCTGAAGTGAATCGCATGTATTAGCATGATAATTGACATATACAGTATAAATGCCGTGTTTTTTGTTTTGTTATCGTAAATTGTATGTTAAGACTGTGATGAATAGAGGATTTTTACAGACATTAATATAATTGAGAAAACAAGCTTTGACTTTGTAGTACTTTAGATTACAGGTACTTAAGATCTCCGAAGACATTTGTCCTCATCAAATTATCTAAAACCATACTTACAAACAATGCACTTCAAACAAAGAAGTACATTTTACTTACCACAGAGTTTATGTTTACATTTGTGTTGTAGTTATATTTAATTAGGACACCTCTGAATATGAATACTGTGCGGAATTTCAAATACCCCTGTCGCAGCAAACCTGCAGACTAAGCGAATTACCATTTGCCTGATTAGATTTTAAATTAATTCAATTTAAATAACGTTAGGTTTTACGAGTACCTAGGTTTGCTGCTACAGGGAGGCTAATAAGTTTGTGTTTTAGTAGAATATTAATAGCTTAGTATAAGATAAATAAATTAACCAAATGTTGTCAAAATATATCCATAAACAAGAGTTGACAATATTCTCTATAAGAATAACATGGGAATTTTAGATTAACACTTTTTTGAATTTTTCCATAACCAATAAGAGTACAAAAACTTTAACATACTAAATAATTTGTTTTTAAATTTCTTCAAAGTGGTTAGGAGAGAAATTGGGAAATTTTGTGTTTTGAGGGTCAAATCTGAGGAAAACAAATATATATATATATATATATATATATATATATACATACATAAAAATTTGAACGAATAGTGTTTTGGCCTCTAGGGACATCAAAATGAAAAAGTTAATTCGTCCCGGGCCCAGGTCTAACCGTAGCAACTACGGTAATAGCTACTTCCCTATGGGGAAATTCGGTAATAACAGCGAAGATTTACGTTATTGTTAGTTTCAATAAACGTAACACAAACTAGAAATTCGTTTTACATTCAGGACAATCAGAGCTATATCCTTAATCAAGTTTTTTTCCTAGATCTCATAAATTAAAGAATCGAAACAAATGTTATATTTTAATTATATTCAAGCCCAGCACCGATGGAACACAAATTGTGCGTGAAGACAGTGTCCGGGTGATCATTTGTGATTATTTATCCAAATTTAAATGTTTCTGCTTGCATGATCGGCCTGAATTTTAGGCTAGGCCTTAGCACCTGCTCAACAATAACAGCAAATAAGTGAATAACAACTGCTAACAACAGCAACACTTGCCAGTCGCCGAGGATGACAAATTGGAGTCAGTGATCTACGTAATGCAAGAGCTGAGTGTGGGTTATGTCGAGTCGGACTGAGCTTTGACATTGATCACGACAAAAATGTTAAAAAAAAGGATACGTATTCTAGCGGATTACTTTATTTCTTGTCCATTTCCTTATGCAAGTTGGTACCATGTTTTTTAAGTTTTGATCATTTTACATTAATATATTTACACTTTTTTGTTCAAACATTTTAATGCTATGTCAGTACAGTGGAACCTTGATAAGAAGAACCTCGATAACAAGTCGCCCTTGATAACAAGTGTCATTTTCAAATACCCTTAAAAATTTGTCTACCCCTAATCACATGTTATTACAAACCTCGATAAGAATTCAACCTTGATAACAAGTCTTATTTTACAATCCCGATGAGAGTCTTGTTATCAAGGTTCTACTGTATTAAGTGTAGTATGACTATTCATATCATATCCATCTTATCAGATCATCCATTCCTGATATCCAACACAACTTATCAGTGTATTTTACTTATATCACTAAAAAGGTTTTGAAACACTTTTTTTACAAATCGTTATAACTCTTAACGTTATCCTTTTATGCTGACCATTCATCCTTTAATCCTATACAAGGTGAGAGTACAACAGCCGTGTTCTGTGAAAGCTTCGTGTTGAGAAATTGCCAGCGACAGGTCGTGGAAATCAGCTTGACTTGACAAAGGCTGCATGATTACAACAGTCTCTGTTCACGTGTGCGATAGAATAATAAAATGTTAGACAAGTTTATTGTTTACAAATAACATTAGTAGAAATGTCCAAAATATAACGGTCATATTCAGAATAATTGTTTATTTATTTACAGACGGAAAACTCCATTTTCATATACATACATATTGATGACATGTGTTTAGTTTGCTCTTGATATAGACACATATTTCATCATACAGATAATCTTTTTTTTTAAAGGATGTTGGCGTCCTCTTTTAACCTTGCATTTGCCCGTCCACATAGACTAACTACCCGTGCGAGGAACGTATCCAGCGAAGCAAGGGGTTATACAAAGGTGAATTGTACTGATAAATTTAATCGGCAGTGACCAGGATTCGAACCCACGACATCGCTGCCTTGGGCCCGAAGTCCGTGACGCTACCGACTGAGCCACCGACTCACACAATACCACCAATCCATCTTGGATCTGTCAAGGTAGCCAAGGGGATTTGGTGCTTTCAATTCCATAGGATGCTGGTTACACCGAGATCGATTCTGGGCCAAGTAGTTTTCTCGTTGTGCGAAAAATTAATAATGCTATCCAACCAAATGTCGATGTTGGATGATACTGAAGCCAGAATTTGGACTGTTCTCGTAAAAAAAAAACACAAAGGTTGTCAAATAGTTTTTCTTTATGGCACTTTATTTCATAAACACTCCTAAATTATATGAGTCTTACCAGTGGATTTTTCAATCGTTAATTCTGTAACATAAAACTGTGTATTGACGGCGATGCGAATGTTTTCAATCCGGTAAGATACATGGCAGATTTTTGTGTGAGATAAGAAGATCAAGAGCCAAATCTCAGTTTGGAGGTCCCCCACGCCTCGGGTGGGCCACTACCTACGGACTGACTACATGGACATAACGTTCCGCGACAAGAATACAGAGCCACTCCTTTGCATGTCCCGTGTCCGGCAGAAGAAAGAGTCACGTCAAAATCAAAACCACTATCAACAATATTTAATATAATCATATGTATAGCTGAGTATCTGAGGGAAACTGTTTTTACCTAACAATCAAAAGGTTGTGGCTTCGATCATGATTAAAGTCAGAAACTTTTTCTTGGATGAAAACTAGGCCTGTCCTTCTTCAGGCTAAAGAAACGTTTATTAGTAATAAAGCCTTCTATCGTAATGTTATCTCCCGTTGTAATTCGTATCATTTGTTTCATTCTCCATCGATTACTATTTTCAAAAAATGTATCACTGGCTGTCTGATAGAGTGGGGTGTAGATGAATCAGAACTCCTAATCAAAGCAGAGTACAGGCAGACTTGACCCTACTTTATTTTCTCGTAATCTTTACTGATTAACTGAATTACTAACATCGAACATTCTTAACTATATTTATGTCTGTGCCCTCCGCCTTGTCTCATTCCTCTAATTGCTCATTTCACTAATTTAGCCTCAAAATAGTTTTACAATTATATTAAATTATTTGTTTTTAAGATTTTCTGAATATTTATGAATATTATTTTTTTTAAAACAAATACGTAAGTCACTGATAGCGACTGAGCCTACGCACAGGCTTCCAGCCCATGTAGGCTTATTTCCTTAGTGTATATGTTTAACATAACTTCTCTGAGACCTTACATCATTTGTTGTTATTATTAAGTTTACATGTATTTTTATATTTAATTATTTTTATCTATGCAATAGCAATCTGTTTCACTGGAAGTTATGTTTATAATTTATATTCTGCAATATTTTTGGAAATAAAGTATATTTTGATTTTATTTGATTTGAAGCTACATAAAGCATGCAACTCCATTCTACACTCATCCTTCACTCAAGGGTTAACATACATCTATTTACGTCATATCGCAATTGGTAATATAATATTAATATTATCAAGGAAAAAAATCATCATCTTTGTAGAAAGAATTGACTAAATTAACATAAAACCTGAAATCACACGACCTTTTCTAAATCGGTTACGTGTTTCATAGCCAAAATACCAGAACAAAATTAATGTGGCAAATTACAAATGAAAATGAAGACAATAAATGTATTACATTGATTATTGTAGCAGTTATTTTTATTTATAAACACAAGATGTTTTTTTTTACAATGCACAGTGGAGGAAACCCTCGAATCAGTGTAGAATAAGGTACATTTGTTAATTTGTCCGTTAATTTAATAAAAAAAACTGTCCACATCACATTTTCAATAACTAAAATCGCAGAATACCTAAAGAATAAGCTGCTTAAATGTAATTGATAAAATCTTTATATTTATTTTTTTAAACAAATATGTTTATAACGAACATAAGCTATATATTCACGCATGGTTGTAAATTATGGTTCGATTATTATTTCTTAGGTCTGCTGCAACAAAGGAAGCTTAATGAATAAATTGTTTAATACATTTCCAATTATAACTCATAATGTTTAGGACACTAGTTTCCGTTACATTGAATATTGCACAAAATTAATATGTACGATTTAAATTAATACGTAGTCAGTATGTCATATTATACATTTCTTAAAGATTAATTTGTTTAGGATTTATCTTTAGGATGATCAAACCCTAATGCTTTTTCTGCAAAAATAAGCGAATAACATCTGAATAATGTTCCAGTATAAATATTGTATCGGATTATCTAAAATAAGATAGTTGCGAGGCATCATTCATATTCAAATATTAGATTGATTAAGTGGTACAATTTCAAAACGTACTCAGTACGCATTTATTTGACACATTAGTTTTGGTCTCCTTGGTTAACGTTGAGGTAAATCGTGACTAACTCACTGCGCACGCGTACAAGTGCCGTAGCGCAAGGCAGGCGCAGATAAAGAATGTACTGGAAGTCCGCTCGCGGCAGGACAATGGTACTCTTAGCGCGTATCTCGCCCGGCAACAAATTACTACGAGTATTTGTCATGTTCTTCGC